CTTCTGGAAAACAGTATGGACGATTCTCAAAAAATTAGAAATTGAGCTCCCATTTGACCCAGCAATACCACTCCTGGGAATATATCCCAGAGAGGCAAAAATGTATAGTCAAAGTGACATCTGCACTTGTTTGTTCATTGCAGCACTGTTTACAATAGCCAGAAACTGGAAGAAACCTGAATGCCCAAGAACAGATGACTGGTTAAAGAAACTTTGGTACATCTACACAATGGAGTACTATGTAGCTCTTAGAAAAGATGAAGTCATGAAATTTACATACAAGTGGTACAACATGGAAAGTATCATGCTAAGCGAAATGAGTCAGAAAGAGAGGGATAGACATAGAAAGATTGCATTCATCTGGGGGATATAAAGTAACAAAATATGAGATTAATACCCAAGAATAGCTGAGATCAGCACCAGGAGGATTACTCCATAGCTTAGTGGCCAGTCGGGCATTCTAGAGGAAAGGGCAGCTCAGATACAGAAGGGAACACCAAATAAAGGGTGTTTGGAGGATCCTCCCAGGAGGGGAGATGCATGTCAAAAGTGGACTATGGACTGAACATGTTTGCCACTCAATGCCTCTTTTGCAGACCACAACACCCAAAAGGAGAGAGAGAACACAGGGGATTGCCCTGCCACAGAGGCAGGGGGGGATGGGGGGATGGGAGTGGGGTGGATATTATCCATGGTGGTGGAAAATGGGCACTGGTGGAGGGATGGGTATCTGATCATTGTATAATCAAACCCAAGCACAAAAAATTGTAAATCTACAACTCTACCTCATGGTGTTTCACTAATAAAAAAAAATTAAAACAAAAAAAAAATGAGAAACGTCCTATAGAAAAGCATTTGGAAGATCATGAAAAAGCTAAAGATAAAATTAGTATATGAAGTATCAATCCCATCTTCGGTGGAAATTAACAGAAAAAATAGTAATAGTAATTTAGAAAAGACATTCAGGCAAATACTTGAATGCAAATAATAATTATAGCAATACTACCTATAAAGCCAAAGAGTAAAAAAAACCCAAATGTCCCGTATTTGAAGAATGGAAAAACAGAGCTATCAGATTCATTAAGCAGAATATTATTTGGTCATTAAAAAAAAATAAGCAAAATTCTGACACACAAATGAATCTCAAAAGTATGTGGTAAATGGAGAAAGGCCATTTACAAAGGCCACATACCAAATCACTGTGTGATTTCATTTAAGCCAAGCTTTGAAAACAGGGAAATCCACAGAAACAGAAGGGACTGTGGAGAAGAAGTTGTAGGGGTAACCTCTCCATGGGTATGAGATCTCCTTTGGGAATGATGAAAATGCCCTGGAACTAGATAGTAGTAATGATGCACGGACTTAGGAATGTATGAAATGACACTGAACTGTATGTACGCTTTGAAACGGCCAATGAGAAGCCAGAGATAAGAGTACAGCAGGTAGGGTACTTGTCTTGCATGTATCTGACGAGGGTTCAATCCTTAGTATCACATGCAGTCCCTGGAGCACTGCCAGGACTGACCTCTGAGAGCAGCCAGAAGTAAGCCCTGAGCACTACCAGGTGTGGCCAAAAAGACAGAAAAAAAGTGGAGGGGGAAGGGGGCTCATGGTTAATTTAATACTATTACATGAATTTTAATGTAAAAGTATAATTCAAAGAGGGGCGTGGGGGGCTACCATTTTGTTGGGGTCAGTATTTTTCCTACGAGAATTTCTGAGTAGCTGCAAACATCAATCACGGCATAACTCCACATCTCCTGGTGTTTATAAGAAAGAACAGAAAGAGGAAAGAAGAAAGAACAGAAAGAGGAAAATTGAGCCTACATGAAAACCACACCTCTGCCTAATTTGAAAACAGAGGATCATCCAAACTTCAAATTATAAAATCACTATGAAAAAACAAAAGACACATCAGCAAACCCAAGGCATCGCCTCTACTGCTCCCACTTTCATATCCTAGACACCTCGCCTTGGCCACCACAACCTGGTAGCGGATGCCCTTTTTTGAAGGCAAGGCTGCCTCCTCTGCTGCAGTAAGAGGGCTGTGACCTTTCCCAGCACCTGGAAGCAGTGATTTGATATGGAACAACTAAAACTTACCTCACACTGATGACACCGATATTAACTTGGAAACTTTAGTCAATGCATATACTGAATTTTGCATATATATTTTTTTAGAACCTACCAAGCTTGTGAGAGAAATTAGAATGTATGTACATGTCAGCAGGATTTTTGGTCAATATCTACCCCCAAACAATAGCAAGTTTAAATACACAATAAGAGAAAATTCAATGAGAACAGTATCTGCCACCTGACAAGAAGAATAAATTCTATAATTTCAAATTTCTTTGAAGTATGGGAAGACTATGTGGGGTGATTGTAAATTTAATTGCAAGATACATTTAAAAGCTACTAACATAATTAAAATATACTTGCAGCACTTCCAGAAGTTAATCCAACAACAGAGCATTCAATTTGTAATGTGATCTTTTCCCCCACTTGATGTCAACTGATCAAGCCTTTTTGGAAAACAATATAAATATTCCTCAAAATACTAGAAATTAAGCTTCCATTTGACCCAGCAATACCTCTTCTGGGAATATACCCTGGGGGCCCCAAAGCACAGTCCAGACACCACACTGCAGCATTATTCACAATAGCCAGAATCTGGAAACAACCTGAGTGCTTAAAAACAGATGACTGAATAAAGAAACAATGATACATCTATACAGTGGAACACTACACAGCCACCAGGGAAAATAAAAGTCATGAAATGTGCTTATAAATGGACGGACATGGAGAATACCATGCTGAGTGAAATGAGTCAGAAGGAAAGCGACAGAGAATATCTATACTTATTTATGGGGTACAAAAACACATAGTATGAGGCTAAGTCCAAAGACAGAAAAAAAAAGGAGCCAGGATGACTGGCCCATGGTTGGAAGCTTGCCACAAGTTGGTGGGGAGGGCAGAGGGCAGTCAGTATAGAGAAGGGACCACTATGACAATAAAAGTTGGAAATGATCACTCTGGACAAGAACTGACCGGTAAAAGTAGATAAAGGAGTATGCATGATAACCTTTCAGTGTTGCAAGCCATAATGCCCTAAAAGAGAGGGGGAAGAGGAGGGGGAGGGGGAGGGAGGAGAGAGGAGAGAGGAGGATGAGGAGGAGGAGGGGGAGGGGGAGTAGAAGGTGGAGGAGGAGGAGAAAGAAGAGGAAGATTAGGAGGAGGAAGGGGAGCAGGGGAGAGAGGAGGAGGGAGAGGGAGGGAGAAGAGAGGAGAGAGGAGAGAGGAGGATGAGGAGGATGAGGGGGGCGGGGGGCGGGGAGGCGGAGAAGAAGGAGGAGGAGGAGGAGGAGGAGGAAGATGAGAAGGTGGAGGAGAAGGAGGAGGAGGAGGAAGAAGAGGGAGATTAGGAGGAGGAGGTTCCTGCCATAGAGAAGAAAAGTACCTGCCATAGAGGCAGGGTGGAGGTGGAGGGTAACGGGACACTGTATGACTGAAACCCAATCAAGAACAACTTTGTGATTGTGTATCTCACAATGATTCAATTAAAAAATAAATAAAAAAAAATTCTCCCCACTTACTCTTTTGGCGGACAAGCAATTTTTTATTGTGAGATTCCAATAGCAAAGCTTCCTTCAGGTCAGAGAGGAAAGAATCACACAGAGTGGAAGAGATCCCATGCTTCAGGAAAGAGCAAAATGAAAGCAGACAAAGCCCAAAGAAGCCAACACTGACCAGGGGTCCATGGACACTCTAGGACTCTAAGGTCCCTTGCCCGGAACTCTGTGCCCCACAGACTCCATTACCCTGTCCTCAAGGAACTTGCAAGGCTTGCCTACTGCATTTCTCCCTCTATCCTCCCTATTTGTCTAAGTTCTTCTTTTTCCCTTCAAACTTTCATTTTAATAAACACTACAATTTGTCAAGAATTGAAGTGATTATAAAAGGGAGCAGCAATATAGTCTTCACCTGGGTCAGCAACTCACATTTAACTACATTTGCTTAGGTGTGGAACCAACAGTACATACAAAAAAACAAAGAACAAATTCTCATGTCATAACCCAATGAAATATTAAATTTTTCATTGGCTGTTTTATATGACTTTTTTTTTTTACTTTTTGGTTCTCGCCCAGTAATGCTCAGGAGTTACTCTCCTGATGGTGCTCAGGGTATCCTATGGGATGCTGGGGATCGAATGCAGGTAGGCCACATGCAAGGCAAATGCCTCGTTGGTTGTATCATCACTACAGCCCCCTATATGGCTATTTTTAAGTTGAAATATAAAGGAAAGCCTGACACAAAATAAAAGTTTGATCAGAGAATAAATGGTTGGATAAATAATCAGTTTGAAAAATGAACAAGAGAGAGGTTGGAGCAACAAACAGCACAGCAGGTAGGGCGTTTGCCCTTGCACACAGCTGACCCGGGTTTGATCCCCAGCACCACCAGGAGTAATTCCCGAGTGCAGAATCAGGAGTAACCCCTGTGCATCACCGGGTGTGACCCAAAAAGAAAAAAAAAAAAGAGCAAGACAGAAGAAAAGTGTGATAGTAGGAAAGAACTTAAACTAGGGACTCCTGCCAGAGCTGTGTATTAATCCTGCCACATACTAGCTGCTGACCCAGGAAGTTATGCAAATACACTTCACTTTCCAGGAGAATAGGCTAGTAACCATACCAATACCAAAGGGCTATAGAAAATTAAGTGAGTTACATGTAACAAAAGAACTGAAGAGCTGCTAGCAAAAAAAAGGTCCTTAATAATGTCAACATACAAAAAAAGCAATGTAAAAGATGACTACTATTGTCTCAAAAAAGAAATAAAATTAAGTATAATAATCTTTCAACAAATTTGATGCTGAAAAGAAAAATTACACCTTTATTAGCATTAAGTCACGATTCTCAGGACAAATAGTTGGAACATATTACTTAAGGTTTATCCATCAGAGACCTGCCAGCAAAGAGAAATGCCATCATTGGAACACTTACTGCAGTCACCCTGTCTCCGCCATTAGTAACGTGCTTATAATATGGCGATCCTGAAAGAACCCTCCAGGCAGAAAGGCCACAGCTAGACGCTTTTGAAATGCCCATTTCAGAAGTTTCACATCCACCAACCAACAAAAGTCTGAAACAGAGAAAAACAAAATAGATTTAAAATATGAACAAGGCACATCAAAACAAAGAAAGTAGAAACAATCACCTTCACAAAAAAAAAGGGGGGAGGGATAAAAAATTCAAGAGATACACCTTTTAAAGGAAACAATCCCAAGAAAACCAGCTGGCTTTTCAATTAGAATTTCACCTTCATTTACACAGAACTTAGTTAAGTTTAAACATTTCCTGAAACCCATGTGGGAACTTAAAAATGAGAGGAGTGTGTGTGTGTGTGTGTGTGTGTGTGTGTGTGTACGCATGCGTGTGCGCGCACTCTACATTTGGCCACTAACAATGAAAGAGACTGTCAGCACCAACTCTAGCAAACACTTGGGTCACCTCACCCAGCTGTCAAGCTTAATGACAGTGGGACATCAGACACAAAGAGGACACAATTACAGATACTTGAAGGAAACCACAGGTGTGAGTGCTGTGGATGGCACAGAACTATACAGTAATGACTGTTGAAACAAGACAGTTTTGTAGATGAGCTCCACATTTTGACCGGCTCCCTTTCCCATTGTACTTCACTAACAAATCGAGGTCAATTAATCAACAGCCTGGCAATGAGAAGAAAGATTAAATATACGCTGAAAGTTAAAATATTGCAACACATCAAAAAAAGCTGAATGACACCATACAACCATCAGCTTTACTGTCCTGTTAATTGGTCAGTGATAACATACTGATAAATACAAGGACCTCGACACCTCTTGGTATTGTCCCTAAATATATGCTCAGGGTAGTATTCAAGAGATACTACCTTTCTTCACTAAGATAGTTATCTTAGTGAAGAACTATCTTAGTGAAGAAAGCAATATCTGACCTCTATTAAGCCACCTAGGATGTCCACATAATCCCTGAACATAGATGCAATGTGAGTCTAACACTAATGATCTACAGGTAAATCACCCTGGATTATCCAACATGATTGCCACTCAAAGCCTCTTTTGCAAACCACAATACCCAAAAGGAGAAAGAGAACAGAGGGGAATGCCTGCCACAGAGGCAGGGTGAGGTCGGGGGAATGGGGGTTGGGAGGGATACTGGGATCCGTGGTGGTGGGAAATGGGCACTGGTGGAGGGATGGGTATTTGATCACTGTATAATTGAAACCCAAGCACAAAATTTGTAAGTCTACAACTGTACCTCATGGTGTCTCACTAATGAAAATTAAAAAATAAATAAATAATAGAAACCAAAAAAAAAACCGTTAAAAAGCACTGTTGCACTGTCCTCTTGTTGTTTATCAATTTGCTCAAGCGGGCTCAGTAACATCTCCATTGTGAGACTTGTTGTTACTGTGTTTGGCATATCGAATACGGCATGGGTACCTTGCCAGGCTTTGCCATGCAGGCGAGATACTCTCGGTAGCTTGCCGGGCTCTCCGAGAGGGGCGGAGAAATCGAACCCGGGTCGGCCAGGCTGGCCGCATGCAAGGCAAACGCCCTACCGCTATGTTATTGCTCCAGCCCAAAAGTTAAAAATAAAAAAGTTAACAAGTTAAAAATACAAAAGTAAAACCTAAGTGTCCTTAAAAACAAAGAGGGAGGAAGAAAACCTGGTGTCAGCATGATGTAAGGTGAGAACTGACTCCAGCATGACTCTGAGATTAAAGGGGTCATGTACCAGGGAAGCTGGATAGACTCTAGACTAGACATCAAGTGATGGAGGAAAGGGATTCTTCCACTGCCTTCAGGACAGAACAAAACCCCACCTACTAACATATTAATCTTAGCACATGGGAAGACTCTGAACTTGTCACCTCAATTGGAAGATCATCAATTTGGGGTAAGTCACTAATTTTGTGGTAAACAGAGAACAACAGAAAAATCACATACACCTGTTTCCTCCCTCATCCCAGATACCTGATTACCTGAGTGAGTGATTCGGCAACAGCTCTCCCCTTAATGGTGGGGATACTTGATAGCACCTGTTTCTGAACCAGGCTGATTCAGAATTTTTTTTTTTTTTTTAGTATTTATCTCTACTGAGACCTAAAATTTTCAAAACTGCAGAAGAATTTTCTTAGTTTCACCATAGAATTTTTTTTATTTTTTTTGTAGGAGTACTGCTATTTCAGCCGCTGATTAGCTGATTGAATTGTGCATGAACTCCACCTTACTTTTTTTTCCATTTTTTATAATTTTATTTATTGAATCACCGTGAGAGCAGTTACAAAGCTTTTGAGTCTAAGTCTCAGTCATACAATGAAACACCCGTACCTTCACCAGTGCCCATTCTCCACCACCAAAAATCCCAGTATACCCCCATCCCACACCCTCCCCCTGCCTGTGGGGCAGATGATTTCCACATTACTCTCTCTCTGATCACATTCACTATTTCGACAACAGACCCACCATTATTTGAGATTTTACCCCAACATTCAGATCTGCTGAAAAGGCAACAGTAGACAATTTGTTTTCTATTGTTGGTTATGAATAACATACGATGTTCCGTGGCTGCAGTAGTGGCCGCACGATTTTGAAATTCCAAAATTTTAACACTTAAATCTGGAGGGATTTCTGCCAAAAGCTACTGGGTTTGGAGATCTGCTCCTGAGTCTCTGGGATCATGGCCGTTAAGCAGCTTGATGAGGAGCCAGAGAGGCCATTCGTGGGCAATGACTTGGGGTCTCGTTGGGGTGGGGAGGACAAGCCCGGCTCCCCCCCCCCATCCCGTGAGGCCCAACAATTTCGTCACTGCAGGCCCAAGCCTGACTGTCCAATGGCCTCTGGAGGATGACAGCCACCAAGTCGCCAAGAGGGAGCAGGCAGAGGGACAGCACCCATTCCCCCCGGGGTGGCCCGGCCACAGTAACCTACTGCGGGGTCCGGACACATTTCTGCCAAAAGCCACTGGGTTTTGAGATTTGTTTCTGAGTCTCTGGGATCAAGGCCGTTGAGCAGCTTGATGAGGAGCCAGAGAGGCCGTTTGTGGGCGATGACTTGGGATCTCGTTGGGGTGGGGAGGACAGGCCTGGCTCCACCCACCCCCCCCAATCCCGTGAGGCCCAACAAGTTTCGTCACTGCGTGCCCAAGCCTGACTGTCCAATGGCCTCTGGAGGATGACAGCCACCAAGTCGCCAAGAGGGAGCAGGCGGAGGGACAACACCCTTTCCTCCCTGGGGTGGCCTGGCCACAGTAACGTACTGTGGAGTCCGGATGCATTTCTGCCAAACGCCACTGGGTTTTGAGATTTGTTTCTGAGTCTCTGGGATCAAGGCCGTTGAGCAGCTTGATGAGGAGCCAGAGAGGCCATTTGTGGGCGATGACTTGAGGTCTCGTTGGGGTGGGGAGGACAAGCCCGGCTCCACCCCCATCCCGTGAGGCCCTTTGTGTCTCATCACTGGGGGCCCAAATGTGACTATCCAGTGGCCTCAGATGGATGGCGGCCACTGGGCCGCCAGGGGGAACAGGCCAAGGCACGAAACCTATTCCCACCTGGGTTGGCCCAGCACTGGTAGCCTACTACAGAGACCAGATGCATTTCTACCTAAAGCCACTGGGTTCTGAGATTCGTTTCTGAGTCTCTGGGATCATGTCCATTAAGCAGTTCAATCAGGAACCAAAGAGGTCTTGCCTCCATTTATATAGCTGAGCCGGGGGTGGTTTGTGGGTGTGTTTCCCACATACCTAACTTTTGGCCGTTTACTTTCTTGGTAAACTTTGCCCCAAGTTTTTGGGATCTGGCCAAAGGCACAGCAGCAATTTTGGGGTATCTGGAAGTCTGAAGGTGCCACGAGGCTGCTGATGCACTCGCCTCACAGGTACAGATTGACCTGCTGGCAGCACCATACCCCCCACCATAGAATTTAACCAACTCAAAATCTCAAAGTTCACAGGTATCAAAATGTACATTATTCACATAAACACTTTATAAGCCTTCACTCAAATCCTTTTGCCTACTGATTTTATGTGTCTCCAACACATTTACATCACAGCAGAGAGGAGGAAATAAATTTTGAGAGAATGCCTGAAGCAATTTACTTGAGCTGTTGGTACCCTAGACCAATCCTCAAAACTAAAACATAATTAACCCAGTCACCAGGGCAAAAAAAAATCTAGGTTCAAAGTCAAGTTAATAGTAGGAGTATTACTTGCCTAGAGCACTCATTCTGTTCAAATGATTGTTTTTTGTTTAAAACTAAAATAGTTTCAAACAAAAAGAAAAAGGTATATATCTATTACAAATTATTGCAATAGGTCTAACTATTAATCTGAAAAAAAATACAGCTGACAAAAGTAACATAAACACTATTGCAATGGCAACCTAAGCAATGGGAAAACTAAAATAATTTACACAGTAAGAAACTACAAATTAAACTACCTGTTCTCTTTAGAGCACGCATGCAGAGAGCATGAGAGGAGTAAATGGAGAATAAATCAACCTATTTTTTAAAGAGCATTTGAGAAAAATGAAGACAATAAGTTATTGTTAATTACCTTCACATATAACAATGGTTTCAAGTCTTTCTGTTTGCTTTATAAATGCACTTTTTAATTTATTTATTTTGGAAATTTTGGCCACACCCAGTGTTCTGCTCAGGGCTCAATACTGGCTCTGCCCTCAAGGATCACTCCTGGTGAGGCTTGGGGGACCAGATGGAGAGCAGGGGATCAAACTCAGGACAGCTGTGTGCAAGGCAAGAGTCCTTCCCACTGTACTATCTCTCCAGCCCCTACGAACGCATCTTGAAATAATACAGTAACATGTCCTCCCTCTAGGATTTACTTAAAGATAATCCTGAAACAGGTGTGTGGAAGAATGGCTAAGGAATACATGAAATGAGATTAACTATGAGGTTGATTGTAGAAACAAAATTACAGGCCCAAGGGAATCAACATACTATTTTATGAAAAGACTTCAATTTTCCATAAAACAATTACTTTTAAAGTCGATTTGCTAGCCCCTGGCACCTCCCATATATTTAAGTCTTTTTTTTTTCCTGAGAAATTCCTCCAACAAAA